TAATAATAATAATAATAATAATAATAATAATAATAATAATAAAGCAAAAGCCAAAAACCATAATAAAGGAATCCAGTCCTGGTAAGCTGATCTAAAGAGAAGGTAGCAAGGTGTCACATTTTCTCAAATTTACACAAGTGATAGTAAGTTTAAAAGGTTGTGACTTACTGGAATTAAGATTATTGGCATCTAGATACAAATTAAATATCCTTTCAAACAGCCCTACTCTAAAATGAAGATTCTACAATCCTAATTTTTGTGTTTATCTATATAAAAATCTAGTACTCTGGAGTACAATCTTATATTCTTAGACAATCTATTGGAGGAAATTTAGTGACTGTGAAAATATACTCTTATCAACTATACGTTGAGCTGGAACAGTGCCTGGGACCTAAACAACACTCAGTACTTGTCTAGGACTACTTACTTGAATAGAGAAAAAACCACTGTCATCCATATTTCCAGAAGGCTGCTGTTCAGTTTGGATAGGTTGTTGAGGCAAGGGTTGAGGGTGGGGAGAGAAAGATAAAAACTGTCATTAGCATGCGTATTTAAAATAACATCTTGTGCAGTCCTATTTACAAAGTCAAGAGTAGAGTTATAATTAACGAGTCAGATCCCAATAGAAAGAATGGTTTATCTTTTTCCTAAACAATACCCACATTAAAAACAAAAAACAAAAAACAAAAAAAAACCACAACGTAATTTGGTGAGTTTAAAATCAGTACCTGTAAAAATGTGCGATAGTCTTCACTAGTAACTCCTCCTTCTGCCATTCTCATCCTCTCTTCTTCGTCTAGCTGATGTGCAATAGAAGACAGTTCCACAGGGCTAAAATATTCTCCTTGCAGCAGATTATTCAGGCAATGCTGAGCACAGAGTGAACCTTCTTGCTAATATGTCCAAAAGAAAAATTCAAATGTGATTTGTTAAACAGCTTGGTACAATGTCTTTCCTTAAAGAGAAATTTAATCATTAACTTCTTAACACTGTCAAACTGAACCTTTTTAGCTTTAAATAAATATGATTAACATAAAGTACATGCATTTCCTTTAATATTTTATAATTCTATCATTAATGAAACTACAATAATTTAGCTATGATCAAACCTTAAGAATGACTCATATTAAACATTATCTATCAAATATACCAAATTTCATATTTTGCTAAAAATTACTCTAAATATTTAGCCTCCCTCATTTTCAGTGCCTAACATAAATTCATCTTTAAAGATTCCATGGCAATTTACTAATGCTGAAAGGGAATTTTAATCCCTAGAACATTTGTTCTTTTAACAAGACAATCTCTACTTGGTCTAAGTGCTTGTTCATGTAATTTCATATCTCAAGAACCGACAAGAACTGATACAGGTAAGAAAAATTCTGTTCGATGTTAAGACTTGTAGCTGCAGAGTCAAGGTCCTCTTCAGAGAGCTCTGTAGATAAGGTGCACACAGTGTGGTGCAATGAGCAAGGCTGTCCAAAAAGCAGCCCTGGAGCTCACTTCTGAACAAGCCGGCAAGGGAGCCTGCATCCAAGCCTAGCTCCCCATGGGATCGTTCATTTCCTATTAGAAGGGGGAGTATAATGTCCCATGGGCCCCAGAGTCTTTGGGTGCTGGGCAGCTGGCTTTCTTACACATATGGCAACCCAAATCTACGTCTAGACTGCCTGGCACTGAGAAGCCTGCTTATCACCCCTCTCCCTACAACAGTGCTGTTTTCCCATGCTTGCCTATTAAGAAGGGAGAGTCACAGGTGGATGAGATCCCTCCTGTGAACACAGACGCAGGGTTTACCTCTCTGTGGTATGATGGCAGACAGGAGAACACTTTCTTCTCCTGCTACCCCAAAGCTCTAAATTTCATAGACCTTTCCCCACTAAAGTCTACTCCTTAATCCAGACTGTCTGACACCCTGCAATTGTTCTGAGCTATGTTACGCAATAGTTAGTGATCCCAAAAAGCAACACATTATTTTTTTCTGATGAATTAATGTTCTAGGAACAAAATTCAGCTGCTGAAAAAGATACAGAGAATATATATATATAATGGAATAGGACAGAGCACTGAGATAGTTTGCGTCTGAGTGGGGGCTGAGATAAATTTATCTTCATAACCTGGTATGAAATGAGTAGCTTGTAGTAAAGAAGAAACCATCTATCCCTCAAGGTGAAGCCACAATTGTGAGAGGACTTGCCTCCACCTCCTTTTCCTTCTATTGTATTCCTACCACCAGAGAGCAACTCCCACTGAATACTACACTGTGAACTGAAGGATATACAGATGTCCTACTATATTCTACTGAAAAATGGGCAAGACAAACCAGCATTCACAAGAGGCTAGCCAAATGGCTAAAAGCTACAAAAAGGTGCTCAACTTCATTACTATTAGGGAAATGTATATTAAAACCACAATGTATTACTACTACTACACACTCTCCATAATGGCTAAAATATTGAGGGAGGACTAGAGACATCGAAACTATTATTTACTATGGACACAACCTAAATGCCCATCAATAGACAACTGGATAAAAAAAATGTGGTACTTATATACAATAGAATATTACTCAGCCATAAAAAAGAATAAATTTTACAATTTGTGATGACATGGATGGACCTAGAGGGTATTATACTAAGTGAAGTAAGCAGACTAAGAAAGACAAATACCATATCATCTTACTTATGTGTAGAACTTACAGAACAAAATAAACGAACAGAAACAGACTCACAGATACAGAGAACAAACTAATGGTTGCCAGAGGGGAGGGAGGTTGTGTGGCTGGGTGAAAAAAGTGAAGGTATTAAGAAATACAAATTGGTAGTTACAAAATAGTCATGGGGATGTAAAGTATGGCATAGAGAACATAGTCAATGATATCTGAATAACTATGTACAGTGCCAGGTGGGTACTAGACTAATTAAGGGATCACTTCATAAATTATATAAATGTCTAACCACTATGCTGTACATCTGAAACTAATAAAAAATAATATTGAATGTCAACTCTAATTGAACTAAATAGAAAAAAAGAAAGATTATTCTTCAAAAAAACAAAAAGAAAAAAACACAACTATTTGCAGTATCTACTAAAGCTCCAACTTTAATTGAAATAAATAGAAAAAAGAAAGATTATTCTTCAAAAAAACAAAAACAAAAAAACACAACTATTTGCAGTATCTACTAAAGCTTAATATATGTACACTCTGTGATCTAGCAATTCCACTACTAGGTAGAGAATGCAAACAAAACATGCAAACATACATTCATCAAAAGATGTGTGTCAGAATGTTAATAGAAACAGTACTTATTCATAATGGCCCCTGAAGTGGAAACTACTGAAATGCTCATCACAACAGAATGGCTAAATTGTGTTTTATTCACAAAAGAATAATACATAACAATGAGAATTAATTAATTATAACTACCTGCATCAATACAGATGAATCTCTCAAACAATTTTAAGAAGAAGACAGACTCAAAAGAGTATACACTATGATTCCATTTGCAAAAGTTCAAAAACAGGCAAAATTAGTCTATATTAGATCAGGATAGTGGCTACCCTTGCAGGGTGAAGGGAGAGTCAGTATCTGGAAGAGGGCATAAGAAGGGCTTAGGGGATGCAGAGAAATAAACGTTATTCAATCTAAGTATTATTTAAATGTGGTTTACTTTGTGAGAATTCACTAAGCTGTACTCTTATGATATGGTGTCCTTACCTGTGTTGTATTTAATAAAAGAAAAAAATTCAAACAAAAAAGCCTCTGCTAAGATACAGCTATTGCACACATCAAGAGCTACCTAATACGGTGACCAGACAACAGACTTTCTGGAAACAGTCCTAATGCAAATTTTCTGTCCTGCTATTGGGCTGCGTGCCTCAGTTTGGGGCCCTCAAACTACCATTACCATATTTAACACTATATAGAGAAATAATGACATCCACATAGCCGATTAAAAAAAATTCTCTATAAAAATTAGCTTTAAAATACGAAAAATAAAGTCTACGGCCATGCCACCCTGAACAAGCCCGATTCCATCTGATCGCGGAAGCTAAGCAGGGTTGGGCCTGGGTAGTGCTTGGATAGGAGATCACCTAGAAAGACCAGGTGCGGTAGGCATAAAAAATAAAATATAAGGGATTGTAAGCTGACAAGGTCCTTGCAATCTGTGAGGTCAACCAAGGGTTGCCTCGCTTAAAATAAAAAATAATAATAAAAATAAAAAATAAAATAAAATCTGAAAAATAAGCACTTAAAAATCAAACCTTATCTAAGTAAAACTATTGCTGTAGGAAATATCGTCCTGTACTTCTATGATTTAATCCAAAGTAAGAACAAATTATTCAGTCCAAATTTAAAATCACATTTTAAAGTGACAAGATGAATCAAAATCTAGATGGAACGAAAAAATTGCACAATGGCCCCTCCGAGATTATGCATTCCCCCAACCCCGACAAGCTATCCCCAGCCACTTCTTTCTCATCAAGCCTTAACCAAAGCTGAATAGAAGTTCACTCTGCTGCAGTGAAAGTTCAAAGGTATTGAAATTCCACGATTTCAAGCCCGAACTTTATTGTCTTGGGATCAGAGGACGAACAAACTGCATCTCCAGTTTTACGAAGATATTTTATAAAATCACAAAAAGAAACAGCACCAAATCATTCCCCCACTGCCCTCAAAGTTGTCAGAACCAACCTGAAACCAGTGTAAATTCCCAGAGAGATAACTGACTACAGCAGAAAGCGGGCATGAACTAAGGGTATGCTCTGAAATGGCCTAACTGGGGCCACCTCATAGTCGAAGCAGCCTTTCTTCTCATCTGAGTGATAATAAGGTCCCACCCCTTATTGAGGTTCAGCAAACACAAGCATCCAAACAACAGCAATGGCCGGCACTTCTACAGCACTATGTGCCATGCAGCATTCTAAGCACTGAGCTCTGAGGCAGACACTTTATTATCCTCACACCACAGAGGAGGAAACTGGAGCACAGTGACAGTATGTAACTTACCCAGGTTCATACGGGTAGTAAATGGCAGAGCAGGGCTTCAAACCCAGGTCAGAGGCTTCAAGTCTGTGCTATTGCCACTTCCTCAAGCCACTTATGTGGAATTTGGTTATTACTAAACCTCAAATATCCTGAAGAACCAACAATCACAAAAAGGCATAATAGATGTCATACGGTCAATGCTTGGCATCTCTTCAGTATTTTCACTAATTTTAAATATAATCCCAACGAGTTTGGTTATCATTCTCAGTTTATATTACATAAAAATACCAATTCGGATGGCACAGTGACCCCACCAAGAGTGGTCAGCAATAAAAGTGATCACAATGACAGAACGCAGGCACCATAACTAAAAACAAAATGAAACAGAACAAAAAAGCAGTTAATGGTCATTTAATATTAGAGTTTAAGTTAGGGATTAGCAAACTCTAGTTTTTGGGCCAAATTCAACCTGCACCAGTAGCTAAGAATCATCTTTATATTTTCAGACGGTTGGGAAAACACAAGAATATGTGAAACCACATATGATCCGCAAAGCCTAAAATCTTTACATAAAAATTAACTTGGATAAACAGCACCATATACATCTTAGATGCTCAAAGAACTCGATTAATTTATTGAGCATGAACTATGTGTCAGGCACAATCTTAAGTACTGGGGGATATATCAGTAAACATTTTGTTGAGTTTACATTTCATCTTAATAAAGGGTACTCAAAGTGACAACTCTGAATATGGGGAAACCAGCATTCCGAAGGGAAGTGATCGCAGGGCCCTTCGCAGGCAGGGCCACTTCCTTAGAGCCACAGTCGGTTCTCTGGCTCTCCAAACCCAGTACCTAGCAGAGATTAAATGGATGTGGTGGAGGTGGAGTAAACATGTTGGAAAATGGCACATTAAACTTGAGCATCCCCTGAATGGACTGTGTACGATATTAACAATGGGCACTATGTTTATAGGTGCTTTCCATACACTTGAAATATGTCTTAAAAACTTCAACTTAAGAGCTTTCATTTGCTAAGAACATGTAAATTGATAAAACATATTCCTGAAGTACCTTTAAGCCTATGCACATGCTGATAACTGAGAAACTTTAGCCTAAATAGATTTTCATTAGGCTACCGCCCAGCGGGATTCCATGGTTTAGTAGTTACATTCATTGAAATGTATCCAAAATAGGTAACAATCTATAGCATTAAAATACATATTGTGTAATTCTCAAGAAATGGTGTGGAACATGTTTAAAGTCTTCCATGTTGAAACATTTTGTCCTACATCAAAGCTTCTGAAAATTAGTGATAAAAATATGTACATGCAGAGTTCTCTTCATCCAATCTCCTCTGCCAAGCTATGAAATTTCTCCTGTCCAACTTTCATAAATCATGTCAATCACGTAAAGATTCGTAATAACTATCACTGACTCCTTACTCTCGAGGCATAAAAATTGGTCTATTTTAGTGACAAAACTTTCTGAAATGTTTTCTCTAAAGCATTTCATTGAATAATGTGTTTAGATTTATGCTGTGCCTCTTGTCTACATTTGATTGCTTTGACTGCCGTGATTTTTTTTTTTTAAATAAATGATTATTTACAAGTATTTAACAAAACAAAATCCCTTTGCTCCTGCTAAAGAAGAGACTCACCGGCAATCCTTTCCAAACATGAAACGATTATGAAACAAGACATGTGCCAAAGTTGTCCTGAGGGAGGTTTCACTCACACCCAAATGGCTTGATAATTGTATGAGAGAAAAGACGAGTTTCTCCACATGCCACAAACATCTTTAAGTGGTCATCGAAGAATCAAAACAAAACAGGCTAGGCAGACCACAACAATATTATTGCAGTCCACCCAGAATACCTAGGAAGAAAGCTGGCTTCCAGATCCGGAAAGATGGGACTACCAAAAGAAACGAAACTCAAACATTTCGTAACAAAAACTCTGTGACGACTTCCCTGTTTAGGGGTGCACGGGGTTTCCTACTTTACGTACCTAAGTGTCAGGCCCTCCAGGTCCCTGCACTCGAGAGACTCACGGACCCAGCACAGAAGAACATGAATACAACCCCAGGAAGCTAAGTGTATGGGAGATTCCAATATAGAATTGAGGAGCCCAGAGAAGGAAAAGTTAATTCTGCCAGGGGTAAAACTGGGGGACTTGGGAAGAAGGATCGAGGGAGGTGTCCGAGAGGTGACTAGCTAGAACCTACGGAGAGTCGGGGAGAAGGGACCGGAGAAGGAATCGCACGGAAAGTAGAAGGCAATCGCAGAAGCAAGCCCACTCGGTGCCACCCTCTCCGGTGCCCCGAGGTGCCCCCGGCCCTGCCTTCACTCCCTCCCCGGCTCCCCGGACGTCCCGGGCCTGGGGCTCCCCGGACACCTTGGGTACGGGCCTCAGGGGCGGAGGGTGCGGTGGGGGCTTCGGTTAAGCTCCCCTTCGGAGGAAGCTCCTCTCACCCAGCGAGATCGGGATGGGGGCCACTCGGGCCCCAAACAGCTCTCCAGGAGATGGCGATACCGCGCCCCACGCCCCCCACCACGCCTCACACAGGTACCCGCAGAACGCGGACACTCACTTTCTCGTGGAAGATGGACTCCATGTTTATTTGTCTGGAGCCAACGGCCCCCGCGCCGAAACACCCCCCTACCGCGGCCCGCCCCTGCCCACGTGCCTGGCGCAGACCAATCACCCCCGAGGATGGGAGTCACGTGGAACGAAGAGCAAGCGATCACCGGGGTGGCAAACGCGGGCACACGTGACCTTTGTACCGCGTCCTCCCATCGACTGTTACCTGGGCGGCGGGAGGACGCTGCAGCGCCGCCTGTGGTGTGGAAGATCTTCTCCACTTCCCACCCATTGCTGTGGATTCTTAGGCTTCTAGGGATCTGGATAAGGACCACCCAGGTTCTTTTTGTTTTCCACTTTACTTTGTACTTTCTACTTATCATATCTGAGTATAGTTATTTAATATCTTCCTCCTCCACTCTCACTGAAAGCCTCATTAAGAAACAAGTTAATTTTTATGTAAGGCATCATTGCATCCCCCAATACCTAGCATTTATGTAAAAATGATACTGTTTATATAGGGCTTACTGTAGAGTAGGCACTCTTCTAAGTGCTTTGCATATATTAATGAATTTAATACAACAATGTGTTGAAGCAAGCAGTGTTATCCTTATTTTACACATAACGAAATTGAGGCACAAAGAGGTTAAGAACAGCACAGTGTCCAAGTTCAACTAGTAGGGCTGGGGTCCAAATCCAGATGCCTTGTTAGTAGTGTATGTGTTCTCGTCCTGAAGAGGAAGCACCAGTTGAGGGAGGTGAAAAGTCCAGTAGAATAGGGGAGTAAGTGGTGTGTTGAAGCTGAAGGAGTAGGATAGGAACAGATCTTGCACCTTGAAACCAGGGTAATTATGTTAATGGTTAGAGATTTTACACACACACACACACACACACACACACATGTTAAGTAATGGTCTAGAGCAGGGGGTCCCCAACCCCTAGGCCACAGACTAGTACCGGTCCGTGGCCCATTAGGAACTAGGCCGCACAGCAGGAGATGAGCGGTGGGCCAGCAAGTGAAACTTCATCTGTGTCTGCAGCCACTCCCTAGCAATAGCATCACCACCGCAGCTCCACCTCAGACCATCAGGCATTAGATTCTCATAGGAGCATCGGTCCCTGGTGCAAAAAAGATTGAGGACCGCTGGTCTAAAGTTCAGGAGACTGGTTAGCTGTAGAACGGGAAGTTGTTGGCGTAGAAAAGGCAACCAAAACCACAGGAGTGAATAAAATCATCTCAGGGGAAAAAGAAGAGATTGAGAAGAGGGTCTAGAGCAGAGCCCTGAGAGTAGAGAAGAACTAGCCCAGAAGAAGGGAGGAAAAGCAGGAAAGTGTAATATTCTGGGAGCCCTGGACAGGAACTGCTTCACAGAGCAGTCAGTGTCAGTTGCTGCCAAGAGGTCCAGCAACATAAGAACAAGGGCCCACTAAATTTTGTTGCTATGGAGACCACTGGTGACTTTGGTGAGTGCAGGTTCAGAGGAACAGAAGGGGCAGCAGGAGGTAAGGAAATGAAGACTGCTAGTGAGGACTGGGTAGCCAGGGGAGGATTCTGTTACCACTTACTGAACGTCTCTGTGTGCCTTGTCCATAGTCCTGTGCTGTGTTGGGAAAACAGTCTTAAGGACTTGTGGTCTAACTGGGGAAACAAATCATGGTCTCATGAAGTGAAAAAAATATGCAAAACAGTTTTTCTGATTTCTTTTTAAAGAAAGTGATATATATATATATATATTTATGCAGCAAATCTCTGTAAGAATATAATGGAAACCCAGAGGTTACCTGTTTGAGATAAGAAAGGAACTGGGTAAATAGGAGACAGGAGTGGAAAGGGGACTTTTCACTGTATACAGTTTTATTCTTGATTTTCGAACTATATTAATGTATCACTTATTCAGAAAAAGTATGTGATTGTAGTCATTTCCTAGGGCTGCTGTAGCAAATTACCACAGAGAAACTGTTGTGGCTTAAAACAACAGTTTATTCTCTCACTATTCTTGAGGCCAGATGTCTGAACCCAATGTGTCAGCCAGCCCGTGCTCCAGCTCTGGTGGCTCCTGGCATTAGTTGGCTTGTGGCCACATAACTCCAATCTCTGCCAGTGTCTTCACATGGCCTTCTGCCTTCTGTCTCTCTGGGTCTTCTCCTTTCATAAGGTACAAGTGATTGGATTTAGGTACCACCTTCATCCAGGATGATTTCATGTTGAGAGCTTTAACCAATTACATTGGCAAAGACCTTATTTTCAAATAAGGGTGGACTTGAATTTTTGAGGGACACAATCGACTTTTTCCAGTGATTAATCACTAGGATATATGCCACCCAAAGGACCTTATTGTTTTGTTCACTGTTAAATCCTCATCACCTAAAACAGGACCTGACAATATTTAGTAATGTTGAATTAAACCAGTCATCTCATTAGGCCTTTCTGACCTATTGAGCATGTGATGAATTAATAGCAAGCATAAAGTGAAAAGATCGATGCCTGGGAGTCAGAATGCAGGTTCTGGTTTTGGCTTTGCCTCTGAAGCCATGTATGACTTGAGTATTAGATTTGTTGCAGTTCCTATTCTGATAACTCCATTAGATATTCAGCACATCCTAAACTTTAACTTTGTAAGATAACATGTATCATCCTTCAAAACCCAATGACCATACTCTCCAGAAAGCATCTCCAACTAATTAGAAGTCCCTGTCCCTCTTATGAGTTACTGTATGTGCCTCTATCATACATGGTGCCTTTTACACAGTATCATACTTGGTTTAATCACATATCTTTTCCAGTACCTTATAAATGTCTTGATGGCAGGGCCCATATCTTATTTGACTTCGTGTGTCTAGTAGTTGGTATCTTTCAAATGAATTAATGAAGCCAGGTATTTGGGAATCAGTCTCGATTCTTTTTCTGCAGCTCTTCCCCCTCACCTCTTGTTCCAATTAGTCCTCAAATGCTATGTATTCATTCCTCTCTGCCCTGTCTTCTTTGTTCCTGCTTAGTTCAAGCTGTCTTGATTTCATGTGTATTCCAGTTTGAGGATGTCTGGTCTTCTGATTCCAGTCTCAGTATGTTCGATTCATAGTGCTGTCAGTGATCTCTCAAAAATGCAGATCTCACCAGTTCTTTCATTTAACAAATGGAGTGCTACGATGTATCAGGCACTGGGACTACAATCATGAAAGAGACAAACAGCCCCATCTTCATGGAATTTATATTGGTAAGGATATTTACATTACACAAATCTTATTCTATTTACAATCCTTCAGTGGCTTCCCATTGCTAGCTTACAAAGCCCTTTGTGACCTGGACTGACCACCTGTCTGACTTTATCTCCCGAAATTCCCTCTGCTCCAGCCACACCATTTTCCCTTGACTTCCAGAAAGTCCTCTGATGAAAAGTCCTTTGTGCCACAACTATACCTTGCTCATACCTGTATTAAAGCACTTATTACATCATACTAGAATTATTTATGCTACTCAGAGGAGTCTTTTTCTATCAAGTTTTGGTATGGAACAGTGGATAAATACATTAATTCTAAAAAAATATTATAATAATTCAGTAGGAAGGAGGTTGCTGAGCTACTCAGGAAAGTGTTTCTGGAGACAGGCATATGGACTAGATGCACTTCCAGTAGACTTCCTTGTCACCTTGGACAATTCAGTTTCTCTATTTCACTGAAATTTTATGTTAAGTGAGATTTCACAAAGATATTTCTACCTTCTTGAACATTGTACCTTTTAAACTGACATTTTGTTACCAAAAACCAAATAGCTTAACAGAATTTTAAACATTTGACATTTAAAAATTAATGTCAGTTTCAGTGTACTAAACATACTATACCCGAAAGTTTCCATGAGCCCCTTTGTAATCCTTCTAACCCACTTCTGTACCCTGGTCCCCCAGGCAATCACGGATCTTTGCTACTAGTTTGCAGTTCCTAACATTTTATATAAACGGAATCACATAGCATGTGCTCTTTTTGCCTGGCTTCTTTCATTCAGGATTAATCTGAAATTCATCTGTGTTGAATCAATCATTTCTTTTTATTGCTGAGTAGTACTCAATTATAAGGATTTAACACATCCATTCATTTGTGGACAAACATTGTGGTTATCTCTAATTTTTTGCAAATTACAAATAAAGCTATGAACATTCATGGAAAAGTCTGTGTGTGGATGTGTGCTGTCATATCTCGAGTGATACCTGAGTGGAATGGCTGGGTCATACATGGGGGTAAACCTGGGGGTAAACACGCTTAACTTGAAACAGCTTCCTTTTAACTATTCTAATAGGTGTTTAGTGGTGTCTCATTATTTTAGATTTGCATTTCCCTAGTGACTGCTAATGTTAAGCATCTTTTCTTGCGCTTATTTTCTACCCTCGTATCTTTTCTTATGAAGTGTTCAAATCTTTTGCTTATTTAAAAAATTGCATTGTTGTCTACAGCCATACCACCCTGAACAAGCCCGATCCCGTGGGATCTCGGAAGCTAAGCGGAGTTGGGCCTGGTTAGTTGTGGGATTTTGGAAGCTAAGCAGGGTTGGGCCTGGTTAGTACTTGGATGGAAGACCAGGTGCTATAGGCGTAAAAATAAATAAAAAATAAAAAAATAAGGGCTTGTAAGCTGACAAGGTCCTTGCAATCTGTGAGGTCAACCAAGGGTTGCCTTGCCTAAAAAAAATAAATAAAAATAAATAAACAGATAAAAATTGCATTGTCTTCCTAAGTTATAAGTTCTTCACATATTCTAGATTGATTTTTGTGTATGTTTTGTAAATATTTTCTCCCAGTCTATACTTGCATTTTCATTTTAACTGTTTTTTGAAAAGGTTTTAATTTTTATAAAGTACAATTTCATGATTTTTAAAACTAGTCCATGCTTTATGTGTTACATTTAAGAAATCTTGCCAAAGGTCACTACAATTTTCAGCTATATGATTTTTAGCAAATAAAATCTTAGCATCATCCTTTTAAAGCTCCTTTTACGTACCTGGTTTGAAAAAATTTTTCTGAAAAATATCTGAGGTAAAAATTGGCCATGAGTTAATAGTACTGTGATCTAAAATGAGTAATAGAAAATTAAATGCTAATTGTAAATTTCACATTGGTGTACAAAATCAGGTACTCGATAATTATTTTTAAAGGTAGTGTTTATTACTTGAAATGTGCAAGATTACTTCAGCATTAAAAGAATCACTCTCCGAATTCTTCAAATTAAATAATGTTTTTATTTTTGTCATAATTTTAAAAATGTGAACATTCTGTAATTCAACCACAGCTTTTACTTCCAGGTGACTTCTTCATGGGGTCTCAATTCCCTGTGTAGAAAGAAAAAATTAAGGAAAGGAAAAAGTATAAATAAAACTTTTATGAGGGGATAAAAGGGAAAGTCAAAATAATATGAATTCAATATTTTATATTCTATTAAATTGACCCATTTAAAAAAATTTGTTAGATTCGACATATTCATTCTATTCTCTCGTGATTTCAAACTTTTATCATTTTTCAATTATATTTTTCCAGATTAAAGAACTGTAATTTCTCAGTTTATCCTCAAGTGAAAGCTATTTTCCTCTCAACAAGTTCATTTAATGTTGTCTAGGGGTCCCCAACCCCCGGTACCGGTTTGTGGCCTGTTAAGAACCAGGCCGCAAAGCAGGAGGTAAGTGAAGCTTCATCTGTATCTGCAGCTGCTCCCCAGCGCTAGAAGCGCCTCAGCTCCACCTCAGATCATCAGGCATTAGGTTCTCATAGGAGCACCGGTCTCTGGTGCCAAAAAGTTTGGGGGACTGCTGGTCTAGGTCCTTTCCAGTTCATTTGATCTTTCTTGAGATCCTTGACTGTGAACCTCCTCTACACTGACTGTGGCTGCTTGTGCCTTGAGCTTCCTCCCACCCAGCTGCACATCCAGTGGCAGACACTCTTGTCTTGCTAACTCTAACTCTCTGTGCCAGAGGAGCCATCCACATAGACACAATAGGACCAGGTGGCTACCAGTTGCCTTTTGATCACTCAACCACCATGCCTAAGGCTCTCAAACAGCACTAAGACAATACTAGTACTATTTATTTCAGCTACACCATGCCTTAAATAAGACAGTATATGATAATATATGTGAAAACTGTATCTAGAGTAGGATTTAGTGAGCTGGTTTAAAATATTGTTTCTACATTAAAATGCACCCTGAATTTTTTTTTTGGAAAGGGAATTTTCAAAGATATGAAGTAACCGGTTCATAAACTGAAGACCTGTTTACATTCCAAATGTAATCATACATTTTTATGCAAGGATTAAACAACAAACAAGCCTACAAAATAATATCACTTACATCTAAGTCCTTGGTGGGAAATTACCCCTTCTGTTTATTTTTGGCATATATGATATTAAGAATACTTCCAAAGCTGGCTCATTGCTGGTTTAAAAAATGCCCAAACTAACCTTTTAAATAACAAACTCTTGTTCCGGAAGGCAGTTAGCTTTTCATCATTCTTTCCATCTAGGTAACATCCGATGACAAATCCCATAGGGACAAGTACATGTACCCAGTGGTCACGTACAATCTGAATTAAGTTCATTGTGAATGCTAAAAAAAAAAAAAAAAAGTCATAAATATAACTGCCTTTGAAATATCTTTTAAACTGCATCTGAAACAGGAAGATAACCTGAATATAGGAATCGATGTTAAAAGCATAAGCCTCTTTTGATTTGCTTGGCATCAGAATATAGTATACTACTTAAAATCTACTTGATGAAGATTATATAGGTGACAATAATTAGTAGAAAAATTACATTGTACTAAAATTAATTGATTACTTTTTCTTCCTGGTTCCATCAGTGATCTTATATGATATAGTGCAGAGAAATAGAGTATAAAAAATTTTACCTGCAAAAAAGCTGAGCATGCGTATACATGTAGTACTGACTTAAAACTTTTACATGTGTAAAATATTTTTAGAACCTCTCAGAATGCTAAAGTAAATAGAGAATAATACTATTTTGCCAGAAGCAGAATTCTTTAGAAAAAGCTATAATTATTGAAAACTAAATTTTCAATTAGCAAAAATCTTGTCTTGGATAAACTTCACTGGCTATGATACGGCCACTGTGCAAAGCTGAAAACTAATTTTTGAAAGGAAATGAAAAGATTCAAGAGAAATTTTAAACAACAACCGTATTAAATAATGTCACAGTAGATCTGAACGTCAATTAAATAACTCTAAAAAAGATAGGGAGAGAAGAGAACTTACTTTTATAGAATGACTACTAGACACCAGAGACATCGTACAGTCCTATAGATAATATGTAATAACTATTATCCTCATTATAATAAGAAAACAGCTTAACCCAAATATATATTAAGTGCAGAACTGGAATTCAAACTCAGTTTCACTCCAAAGCTCTTGATGCCTTCTATTACATCCCAATGCCTAAGAGACCCCTCCCAGAATTGATATTTATGGTACTTAAGAGCCTTTACATTCTAAGACTTTCCAAAAGGCAGAGGAGGAATAGAAGAACCAGAAGTCATAATGGAAAATAAATTTGCACTAATTCATAAAAACATAGCTGAATCGTCAGTTTTCTGTAAAAATTTGCACCTAGAGATGAAATTAAAATACATCCTCATGCACATGAATCTAAAATGAGTAAATCATATAGAATGGCTGAGAAGACTTATGATGAAACCCCGGAAAGAGAATAGTCACGTGAAGGGGATTCGTTCTGAGAAATGTGTTAGGCAATTTGGTCATTGTGCAAACGCCAGAGTGCACATACACAAAAAAGAGATGCTATAACCTACTACACACCTCGGCTCTACGGTATAGCCTATTGGGCTACAAACCCATACAGCATGTTACTGTACTGAATACTGTAGCAACTGTAACACAATAGTATCTGTGTATTTAAACATATCAGAATATAGGTGTACAGTAAAACTAAGGTATAAAAGATAAAAAAAAAATGGTACAGCTGTGTAGGGCACTTACCACGAGTGGAGCTTGCAGGGCTGCAAGTGGCTCTGGGTGAGTCAGGGAGAGAGTGGTGAGTGTGTGCGAAGGTCTAGGACATTCCCTCACACTGTAGACTTAGAAACACTGTCCCACAAGTCCTCCCCCACTGCTCCCTTGGAAACATGGAGGAGAAATTGGCTGGGTGAGGTGTGGATCGCCATCACAGTGAGTGTGGGAGGGAGTGAGAGGTGGCTTGAGGACCAGCAGAAATGAGAAATCAAGATAGAGAGAGAAAGGAACACAGGGCACTGTAACGGCCGTGTGGTTTTGGCTACTGCATGTTGGATTATGGAACTTCGTGGTACTCATAAAAAAAAGGGGGGGGGGTGTTAACACAGACAGGGTGTAGAACTGAGGACTGAACATTTTGACTTTGGAAATTTGTTTTTGGCTCTACTGACCCTATCTGGCATAACTCTCTCTGGCAATGAATCAAAAGAAGAAATAAAACTTATCTATGCTTTACTTCATTAAAACCTGGTATTTCCAAAGTATAGGGACAGGCTGGCTCCACACTAACACAGAAAGCTTTTACTAAAGTGGCAGTGGCACTTGATACTTGTTCAGGTAGCTCCTGCAGACCTGTGTCCTTGCCCAGGGTCTTAGGTCCTCAACAAAGAATTCACAGCAATGTGCCCTGGACACCGTCAAGTGAGACCTGGGCGGGCTGCAGTGCCCTCTGAGTACGTAGCGCAGGGGGACAGGGTCCTCTGTGCAGGAGCAGGTCAGTGGCTGACTGGCTGGGCTGTGACCTGTGCACTCCAAATTGAGGTGCTGGGAGTGAGGGAATCTACTGCAAAGCCCCACAGATACTGCTCCTGTCAGAGAAAAAAAAATTTCTCCTAAAGCACATATCCTTCCTACAGGGTATTCCATAATCTTACATGAAATTCAGCTCCATTATAATCTTATGGGATCACCATCATATATGTGGTCTGTCGCTGACCGAAATGTCATTATGCAGGACGTGACTGTACATTACTGCCCATAAAAGTACTCAGCACTAAATTGCGCTGGGATTATGTAGCTTGGATTCCTGGCTGTCACACTTATACAGTCTAATTCTTTATTTCTCAATCTTTAATCACTTACTCATCTCTAAAGGCACTGGGTTAGGAAATGGCCATGAAGTTAAAAATTGCAAAATTACAGGCAGATCTCAACGATATTGAGAGTTTGATTCCAGACCAGACAATAAAGTGAGTGTCTTATTAAAGTGAGTCATAATCTTTTTGCTAGTGGACGGTCTAAGCCTCCATTTTGTAAACAAAATGCAACACCTATGAAGCATAATAAAATGAAGTGCAATAAAACGAGGTATGCTTGCACTGTGTATTGTCTTTCATAAAGTGTAATATTTACACATGGCAGGTTCCAGTCTGAATATCATTGACCTGGAAAGTTATGATGCAATTAAATAAGATGTTTAAAATACAAAATTTACAATTTAGTCTTAATTTTAAGTTTTAGTCTACTGTCTACAGCTGGAATTCTCAAACTTGACTGCACGTCAAAATCACCTGGGGAATCTTTTTGAAAACAGGGACTCCTTGGCCCTATTTCTGGAGTGGAGCTGGAAAAATCTGTATAGGTGAAAGATATAGGTGAAAGAACTCAGATGATTTGTTGCAAATAGTTCTTGGACATATAAATGAAAATGTAACTACTATCCTATTTCCTAGAAGATGGAGGTTCTCTTAGCATTGTTTGCATTGAGATCCTTAAGTGCTTTTTGATAAACACTTAGGTACTTTTTGTGATTCTGACCAATGCCCACCAAGTTAGTCACCTGTTTTATAAACTTAAACCAGTCAAGTATGGGAATAACAATGTGTGCCTTAATCAAATAGGTTATGTAACTTTGAAAGCATTAAACTGCAAAATATTAGACAACATAAATCACTGTAGAAGTCCAGTGGTCATCTATTATTTCACCTGTCTTTATTAGGGCCCTTAAATTTCTTAACAGGTGTCAAGTCTAACCCTCAGTACAGAGGTAAGATATTGTTTGTATTTAACAAAAAAGTACTTGCTAACTCTCAGCTCAAAACTGTTTTAAGTCCGTGGCTACCTGTGGGCTATAAGCCATTCATTATTAGCATTCTTCCAACAGGGCCAGAAGCTGATTTTGTTTGACTCTACTCTGCACAGAAGAGATCAGACATGTCCCTGAGGCTCTTGCTGCCTAAAGGTCTCACAGAGACCACAGGTAAAGACAGTGGGACAGATAGATAAAAAGGATTCTGTATATTCAGAATCCAGAGTCAGATTCAACCACCATGAATGAAGCCTGATTCTGTCCCCAAGAGGTAAATGACAAATATTAGTCTTAGAGGCGTTTCATATTACAACTGTCCAATCTATTTATTCAATGGACTTTGGGAACGGTGGCACTGAACATAATTTATCCTGTACATTTCACTATAAGCAATAACCAAGGAGGATGATGATTTATGGACATTAAAGAACTGAGCTAGAATGAATCCCCGGAGAATGGCTAGAAGGAGAAGCATAGATAGGTTTTCAGGCTCTTGGTCATGGGCCCAAGAGCATAAGGGATGGGTAAAGGGCAGTGAGGACCTGGGACAGCCTCCATTAAGACAAGCCTAGGTTTGAAGAGTGATATCCACAGGGGTGCCCAATATGTAATGTGCCCAATACATATTAGTGTCTTCTTTATATGAAAACTCTCAAGAAAAATTTTATCTTTACTTCAGAACTGGGAGTAGCTACAGCATTACTGGGAAAATTTTTTTTTTAATCTTGCGGACTCAAGGAATCACATAACTGATCAAGTTTTGTTGCCTACCTCTAGAAAGAGTTGACTTCTAAAGCACTCTCTGTAAGACAATGCTTTTCATAATCACCAACTCATGTAATCCTCACAGTTCTACACAACTATTAACTAATAGAATGTCCCCCAATGCAGTACATATTTTTTTCAGATGAGGAAATTCAGGGACAATCAACTTGCCTAAGGTCACAGATGCAGTAAGTGGCAGAGCTGGGATTAATAGTCAGGCAGTTTGACTCCAAGTCCAAGCTCTCTATTTCGTGCTTTACTGTCTCTTACAGTAAGTACAGGGGTAAATATTTATGTTAACCTCACTTCTGGCTTTATCTTATTTTCCCCAATACGTATTATTTTCTTCAACCCAATTTTTTCTGCTTAACTTCTAAAAAGGAAACGATCTCGTGTGTATTTTTGTAAGTCACCCCGAATTCAAGTTGGAAAAATATAGATGACTAGACATATATATATAATAAGTATGTGTTTACATATATTTATATATACACATATATGTTCACGCACACATATACACATATATTCTCTAACTGGTCCCCACAGCATTTTGTATGTATTGATCAAAAAGTGTGGATTTAATCTATGGAAACAAATACTGGATGCATGAAGGAAACTAAACTCCTTGAAATCTGGAACCATGTCTTAAATAACATATATACTGCCAAAAAACCAAGCACAATTTAAACATTACGTTTTTACGAAGTGCACATTTTGTGGATTGGTAGGCTCAAGAGGGTTCGAGATTTAAAAGAGAGAGGTCAGTTTGGCTTCCAATCCTGAGTAAAGAAGAAGACGCAGTGCTGGAACTTGGATGAATCTAAGATGCTCCGTCCCTGCTTCTGCCTAGGAGTGTGACCCGGTCGGTTTCCTTTCCCGTCCGACCGGCGGCGGTCACTGGGTGATCGCTAAAGATGTTTTCCAGTTATCAGAGCCTCAGAGTACCTTTTCTAAAAGCTGCCAGAAGGGAAACGGTCCGCCTGAATAAACCCACTTCCCTTTCCTTTTCCTGGCTCCTTCGCTCAGAAGCCCCTGGACGCCGACCGCTCCAGCCCCGGGGAGGCCCAGATCACCCCAGACCACACACTCCACCGCCTATGGCTTCCCTAGAGGTGCACTCTCCCGCCTGCACCACAGTGACCCGCAGCGCCTCAGCCGCCTTGGACCCCGGACCCACCTGCGGTCTCGGTGCCAACGACGACCCACGACCAAGGGCAACGGCGAGCCCAGCCTCCAGCGCCGGCGGAAGCCTGGGTCTCGGGACCTGCCATTCACAGCGCCCGCAGGAAGAGAGGGGTGGCACAGGAAGGCCATACCTCTTCTTCTTTTTAATATTTGACTTTTCTCACATTTACCTTAGATTTCAAACATTGTAAGTCATTTTAAAATAAAATTTAGGCCCTAGGTGACGAGATTTGTTGATGTATGCTCCATCTCCTTCCTACAACCTCGTCCCGACCCCCCCCTCAAGATGGTATCGCCTGGGGTCTTCCCCGCCTCAGCGGATCGCCTCCAGTTTCAAAATGGCGACCGCCACTGCGGGGCTTCTGCTGCCTGTTCGTCACGGCCGCTGCTGAGCGAACGCCAGCTTTTCTCGCTCTTGAACTTGGCTGGACTCGACTAGGGGTTGGGAAGGGCAGTGGACGGCGTTGGGGGAGGATTGACGAGGCAAGTGAAGGCGGAAGAAAGGAGCGAGCCTTTGGTTGGGGGAGGGGGCGTCCTCGGCCCTCTGGGAGAGTCTGGCTCCAACTCCCAGCCAGTCTCCGCTCGGATGTGCTCCTGGGGTTTCGGTTCCGACTGCCCTGGTCGTTCGTGGCAGAAGTGCTCAGCGAGGGGAAGAGAAGCGATTTCTCCTTGGGTCTAAAGCCCGCGCGGTCTTTTGTGGCCGTCCGTACGATTCCCTCCTATGCTCTTCCCTCCGGTTTGCTGTCTTCCTCAGCCCTTCCAGGCTCTCGGCGCTGGAGGGGTTAATCCAACGCCAGCGTTGGTTCCTTAGCTTCGGCTGCTGTGTTTCCAGCTTCCTTGCTCGGGGTTTTGCCGCTGTCTCAGGTTGAGAGACCACGAGGCTGCTAAGCACTGGGAACAAAGTATGCGTCCTTTTTCGTTAATCGACTCGACCCTCTGCGTCTCGAGGGCACTTGCACCACCATCACTCTGTTTTACGTGCTGTTCAGTAAACCGGAGATCAGACTAGCCATAACCCCAGCAAGTCTGGCCTGTGACCTGGCGAACCTGAATTACCAATTGCCCATCCCTTAATATTTTACTTTATAACCCCTTTCATCCTGTTAGGAAACCGCTGCTCTCCCGGAAGAGACTCAGGGAGCTGGAGGGCCAACCCAGAATTCTTCCCTTTTCCCTTGGATTTTGCATAGTTCCCTTTAGTTATCATTAATATATACAAAGTCATTATTGAGAGAGCAAGTAACTATGATAGATAATTGAGACGAAGTAGTATGGGTTGGAATCATTGCCCTGAAGGAATTTGAGGTATAGTTAGGATTCATTTCCTTCTTTCAGTGCACATTTATTTTGCTTTGAGTACTGTGCTTGGTTGGTATTGGTGATAAAAAGATGATCCCTTTTACTCTTCGCCTATACATTCCACATCTCTTCAACAAATACTCTTTGTGTCTAGTGTGTGCTAGGTGAAAATGAGGAACTGCTTGAGGCCACCGAAAAGCATTATTAGGGAATAAATGTTTGAGCTGGGTAATGAAGGTTCAAAAGCAATTTACTAGGTTCAAGTGAAGGTCATTCCTGGGTGGAGTACAGGGATGCAGAGACTTGAGAAATTTTGGCATACTTAGGGAGAATGGGAAAATAAATTTGCTTGAGCATGCAATGTAAGGGTGAAGCAAGAGGTAGGTTGACTTCCAACTAAGGAATTTAATTTTATTCAGTAGTTAGCAGGAAGCCAGTGAATACCTTGCACAGGAAGAGGCATGGGTCTATTTGTTTTGTTTATTTATTTATTTTTAGGATGACAGCTGTATGGAGGATCAACTTGCAACAGGAAAACTAGATGAGAGGAAATTGCAGTCAGGTAAGGTAATGAGTGCCTTAATTGAAGTATAGTAAAGGATGTCAGAGAGACATTTCTGAAATGTCAAATAGGATTCAACTGGTGGCAGCCAATTTGGTGGTAAGAGAGTCGTGACCCCAGAGTTTTTAGTCTAGGAGACTGCATGGTTGGTGATACCATTAAAATCAAGCCTAAGATGTACATGAAAATAGAATGGTGCCAACGGTGCTCTGCAGTCCGAAGCATTCATTTTCGAATCTAGACCTGTGGTGCTATTACAGTAGCCAGGGCTACATGTAGCTCTTGAGCACTTGAAATTGTGGTTAGATCAAATCGCCTTGTGCTGTAAATATGAAATACATGGTGGATTTCAAAGACTCAGTACAAAAAAAAACTGTAAACTATCTCAATTTTTTAATAATGATTACATGTCAAAATGATATTTCAGATATATTGGGTTAAATAAAATATGTTAAAATTAATTTCACCTGGAAAACTTTTCAGTGTGGCTGTGAAAAACTTTTAAAGTACATTTGTTGCTTGCATTATATTTTTGTTGGACTAGATTATCGTAGTCTAGACCGATGATAGAGAAATTAGTATAGAGGTGGAATTTGAGCTGGGTCTTGAGATGATCGTGAACAGTGATGTCAGGGCAGCTTGCTGGCACCCTCCATTGCCAATGAAGGCATTCAGTTTTTTGTTTTTTGTTTTTTCAAGCAATAGGAAGCCTTCAGAGATTTCTGAGCAGGGGATAATATGTGCAGGGGTATTTCTGAAATTAATCTGGCAGGAATGTTTAGGTTGAGATGAAGGGGAAAAAGGCTGGAAGCTGAGAAGCAGAGAAACCCAAATGTAAGGTAATGAGGCCCTGCATTAAGGTACTGGCAGTATGAACGGAAAGGGAATGATATATGTACAAGGCATGCTGAGGGAAAACTAATCAGGACTCGGAAACAGACTGTTCAGGAAGAAGTAAAGGAAGGAATCGAATGTGTAGAGTTTCATCCTTGGTTGCTTAGATAACAACTAATGAATTCATGTCATAGAGTTATTAAAAGTATACATTTGGGGCTAAAGAAATTTAGTCTTAAAATAGAACCAGCAAAGTCGAAAGGAGGAAGTGGTCTGCTAAATACTCTCCCTTTTTATTCTTCTGCTTTCTGTATCTTCTTATCTAATCAATCATACACACCAGCCAATTTTCTTAAAATACAGAATTACCTGTATCGTGTCATCTTCTTCCTTGATAATTGATCTTAAAATGTTTCTTTGTTGCCTGTAGAACTAGTTCCAAAGTTTCCCAGGCCTTTCATTACCTGGCCCTTTTCTATTCATGTGCCTGGGTAGTTTTTTCACTGGTTATCTGTAAGTTTTTGATTTGTGCCTTTGATCATGTTGTTTTGAATATCTTTTCTCTTTGTTTCTTTCTACCCAGGTCCTCCCAATCCTTAACAAATCATTTAAGATCCCACTTTCTTTTTTTAAGTGATTTTCAATAACATAAGCCAATGTCGATTTAAAAAATATTATTTCTTAAACTGCATATTTCAGCCCCTGATTGTAACCAGTTTGGTATATTATTATTTATTTTTGTCTTTTATTATATATATATTTTTTATCCCTGTTTGTTTTATGTAAGCTTAAGCTTCCTAAAATTATGATGTTTCTTTTTTTAAAAAGGACTATATGTTATACTACTTGCTGCTCATGGTGCTCATCTTAGGGCAAGATATAGAAATTAAACACCATAATTAAAAACTGAAGTAAATCATTATGCTGCATTCATGAGACTTATTTCTTTATTTTTTAGATTCATAAAGAACTCTTCCTTTGAATTCACAGTGTTTCATCCTATATACGATTGAGATACCGGTAAGTAATGAATGTCTAATAAAGATGTACCTTTATTATATTGTAAGCAATTGTAATGAAAATACCCTTTCATCTGTTGAAATCAGGGTCTGTCTGCAAAAAAGTTTTAACATGAACTCATTCAGTTATACCTACAAGAGACTTTGTATTTTCAGTTCATAATGTAAATAAAGTGGGAGGAGTAGGGTAGATTGGAGTAGAAAAAGAATTTCTCTTAGGCCGTTAATGTAAATGTGGTGTGTGTGTTACATGCCACTGAGTCAGCTTCAACTCCTGGAGACCCTGTGAGTGAGTGACGTCCACAATGTCCTGTCCTCCACAGCCCTGCTCAGCGCCTGTAGACTCCTGCCTGTGGCCGCTTTTATTGAGCCATTCCATCTCATATTTGGTCTTCCTCCTTTCCTGCTGCCTTCTATTTTCCCCAGCATTATTGTCTTTTCCTAAGAATCCTGCCTTTCATGATGTATGTGAAGTAGGACAGCTTCAATTTTGTCATTTTTGCCTCCAGTGATGTTTCAGGTTTAATTTGATCTACTCATTCACCTTTCTGGCCATTAAGGGTATCCATAGAGTTTTCCTCCAACACCATATTTCAAATGAATCACTTTTTTTCCTATCAGCCGTCTTCACTGTCCAACTTTCACATCTATACATAGTAATTGAGAATACAAGGGTGTGGATGACCTTCGCCTTGATCTCTAGTGACATATCTTTGCTCTTGTTGATCTTTCCTAATTCTTTCATTGCTGCCCTTCCTAGTGTCAGCCTTCTCTTGATTTCTTGATTGCAGTCTCCATTTGAATGGATGACTGAACTCAGGTAAGCAACACCTTTAACAATTTTAATGTCTTCATTATCTGTGTTAAAGTTGTGTATTTCTTCTATAGTCATGATTTTTGTCTTCTTGATGTTCAAGTACAATCCTGCTTTGTCACTTTCTTCTTTCAGTTTCATCAGACGTTGTTTCAAATCATGGCTACTTTCTGCTAGTAAGGTGGCGTTATCTGCATATACTATTACCGATGTTTCTTCTACCCATTTTCACTGTTCCTTCCTCTGAGTCTAGCCAAATTTTTCATATATGTTCTGCATGCAGAGTAAACAAAAAGGGAGGTAAAGTGCATGCTTGTCCGATGCCTTTGCCCGTAGGAAATCATTCCATCTCTCCATATTCTGTCCGGACAGTGGCTTCCTGTCCACAATACAGGTTATGCGTCAGGACAGTTAAGTGCTGAGTCACACCCATTTCTTTCTGAGCAACCCATAGCTTTTCATGGTCTACAAAGTCAAAGGCTTTACTATAGTCTATAAACAGACTAACCTTCCAAAAGCCTTTGGAGCACTCCAGTGTCCACTGAATGCTCGCAATTAGATCTTGAGCACCACAACCTTTTCTGAATCCAGCTTGAACATCCTGCATTTCTTGCTCCAT